GCGCTTGGTCATGTTGAGCAGGAGGAAGAAGTTGGCCACGACGGCGATGGCGAGCTGGATGGCGTTGATGACCAGGAGCCACGGCGGGTCGCCGACGAAGACGGCCTCGGTGACGTCCCTCCCCGGCGCGAGGTGTTGGCGCCAGGGCTTGACGAGGGCGCAGATGGAGAAGGCCGATGCCACCGGGCCCAGGGTGCCGGCGATCATGGGGAAGGCCGCCGAAGTGAACCACCAACGGCTACATTTTCGTCAGTCGTGTGTCCCTTCATGTTAGCCACGGGGAGAGAGAAACCTACGTTCGGCGGAGATGGGCGTGACCCGCTTCGGTATGCCCACTGACGGCTTCATGGAGGTCGGCATCCTGCATCTTGTAATAGTGACACGAGAGCTCATGTGTCGATTTGAATATCAGAAAGAAGGCCTAGATGAAGAGGCGAGCACGATCCGGCCGGAATGCGATGCGGTCACCAGCGGCTTGGTCTCTCGAGATGCCGCGCCAGCTTGCCTTGCTTTGACGACAGATTCAGAGCAACCGTGGGAAAGACGCATGATTTCACGGGAAGTTATTGGCGGTTTCTTCTCTCCGTCGAAAAAGTGCGGTCTATTATATAAGTGCATACCAACCAACCTAGCCCGGGCGATCCTGAGAGTTAAAAGAATGATGCTGCTTACTGATGCGGCAGCTGATGTTGATGCTGGGGACGGGCCTGTCATGACGTAGCTTGGCATTTGAGCTAGGTAGCCCCGAATACTCAGCTAGCGTACAGTGGTTCGTAAAAAGCTTATTAACTGCCAAACTAGACTATTTCCGGTTAGAGGCTCACCCTCATACCCAAGTTCCCCACCGTGACCCCGAGCGGCCAGCGTTTGAGTGCAGCTGCAAGTTCAAACCAAGGAGACGAGCGCATAGCGTATACCTATTTTCAGTCTTCCCTAACCTTCGCCGCCGCCGCATAAATGAGTAGCTGAGTGGTATCGGACAATGAGATGGCTTTTAGGTAGTATCTCGAGGTCTACGGTCCGTCCTCCCCTGTTCAGACTGGGAGTGCGGCCCCTGAGCCGCATCGCCTCGGTTCTTCACGATGCGGAGCGAGTCAGCGTGCCGGTTGGCTCATCTGGCAATGTAAACATAGAGTAGGCTGCCTGAAATACGTTTGGCCTTGTCGAGAACAAGTTTCTAATACGGTAACTAGTTTGCATAATCTGTCCAAGGTCTCATCTTCAGAGCCACTGCTCATATATCTACCGCCATTTTCCACATCGGCTCCTGCAGGGAATCTGGCTCAGCTACCAAGATTCGCTCAGAGATATGCAACGGCCGTAATCAACTACCGTTGGACGGAACCCTCGCCTGAGGATGCGCCTGTACAGGATGATGCCTTGGACGGTGAGGGGCATATCTTTCGACGTTTTCATCCCGGCTGGCCGGCGCCCATACACGATACTCTGAAGGCTTACACGTGGATCGTTGAAAACTTGATCCCTCCCACCTACGCGCGTCGTGACATATACGTCTATGGATCCTATCTCGGCGCCTCCCTCGCAACCTCGTTGGCCCTGACTGAGGCTCATCCACACGAGCGCATGGCCGTCCGAGGTTGCGTCGCCTACAACGGCATCTACAACTGGACCACGTTCTTGCCGGACCACCCCATCAACAAGGCCCCGAAGTCGTCGTCGTCGCCGTCGGGGCATTTCCTGGAGGATATCCTCGCTCTCCCCGGCGACCCGGACTTCCAGGACCTGAGGCACATGGCCAGGGACCTCTTCCCCCGGCCGGACGACCTGTTCGACCCCTTTGCCAGCCCGTGTCTCTTCTTCCACACGCCCGGGCTGCTGGTGCCCCCGTCCTTCGATGCATCGGCGATCCCCTCCCCGCCCCCGTCCGCGCTGGCCGACCTGCCCTGGCTCCCCGAGGGGGCCGTGGACGAGCTCGTGCTCGCGCTCGCGCCGCCCAGGCAGCCCCGGCGGAGCCCGCTCATCTTCCCGCCGCGCACGTCGACGCTCAAGATCCCCGAGGTGCTGCTGCTCCACGACGCGGCGCCGCCCCTGCCGCCCTCGCTGCTGCGCAGGCGCCAGAGGCGGCAGAAGCGCACCACCCGCGGCAACAACTTCCGGGTCCAGGCCGAGGAGCTCGCCGCCCTCATGCGCCGGAGCATTGATAAGGTCGAGCTCAAGGAGCGCATGAAGTGGGACGAGGACGCGGGCGGATGGGATGACGAGGCCGATCGGCGGGTCCAGGTCAACGAGGTCGGCGCCGCCGGGGATGATGATGATGCGGCTGCTGCGTGGCTAGAGGATCGGATGCTGAGGCAGCCTAGGCGCTCCAGCCATTTGAACGACTATGATGTGTTGGGGCTTTCATAAGATTGCATAACGCTGGGCAGAGTGGGCATCGTGGGGAGTAATTCTGTGCAAGATATCTTTGTCTATTTTCATTCTAGTATAGTGCAAATTTAGGTTCAAGTCACCTAGTAGAGCTATTTAGCGATAATCCGTGTCACCCTGCAAAGTGTGAAATTCAAGGCAGTCTTAAATAAGATGGAGGAAGTCTCGCCGAACGCCTAATACAAAATTGTGTTGAGACCCAAATGCCCGTACTCGAGCCGGCTCCTTAATAATTCCCCTTTTCCCTCTTGCCAACCACCCCTCGTTTATGGTTCTCGATGACTCGCGATAACTTAGAGCGCTAGGACGCTGAATATATATTTCTGATCTATGCATGAAGGCTTATAAAGCCATAGCCGGCTGTCTTGAGATGTAAATCCAAAAGCTGTTAAAACTGGGATACGATGGTGTTTTTGTATACCCAAGCCACCAATGGTATATTCCAGTACAAATGGCGGGGTTAACGGGGATAAAGTAACTTTAAAAAGGCTGAGGTGCAAGTGCTGCGCCACATATATCTCGTAGTGGATAGGTGGTCTAAGCTTTGTGGCGTGGCCAAACTCGCCTCACTGCCCAGGTGCAGACAGGTGGCTCAGCCCCCACTACAACACACATCTCGGCCGTCACGAAAAATCAAAAACGATTTTGCAAACTGCAGCCAATTCCCAAATCCACGACATCAACCTCCTCGCTCCCAGTCAACCTCAGCGAAAATGGCCGACTCCGTTACGCTCCGTACTCGCAAGTTCCAGCGGAATCCCCTGCTTGCTCGCGTTCGTACTCCCGTCCCGCCGCTGCTTTTCCCCCTCTGGAGATGCTAACATATCGGGAACTACAGAAGCAGATGGTTGCGTAAGTTCTCTCCCCCGAGACGCCCCTCGGCAGCCCCCTTCGAACGCGCCGGCAACGACGACAACGATGAAGCGACCGCGACGGCAGCTTCGGCTACAGCACGGCACCGCGCTCTCCGCTTCCGCACACCCCTCTTGCACGCACAATGCCCTAACGTAGGATTCTCTATAGCGATATCATCCACCCCGACCAGGCCGGTATCTCCAAGGCCGATCTCCAGTCCAAGCTCGCCACCCTCTACAAGGCGACTGCCGAGCAGGTCAGCGTATTCGGCCTGCGCACCGCTTTCGGTGGTGGCAAGACCACCGCCTTCGCCTGCATCTACGACTCCGTTGAGGCCCGCAAGAAGTTCGATGCCAAGCACCGTCTCGTCCGTGCTGGCCTAGCCACCAAGCCCGAGCGCGCATCACGACAACAGAGTACGTCCATACTGCCCGCACTCCTATCATTTCTGGACCATATCCTTACCACATCTTGAACAGGAAAGCAACGCAAGAACCGCATGAAGACGCTCCGCGGTACCGAGAAGACAAAGGGCAAGAAGGCGAAGAAGGATTCGTAAAGGGTTTCATATGGGTCATAACGGTCAGGGATTGGGAGCGAGACTAGCTACATAGCCGAGTAGTGTTTCGTGACAAAGGCAATGCTATAAACGCATATTCATTGATACCCGGTATCAACCAGCCAATCCCGCAATATTTTGGCAGTGGAATCAAGAAAACGAATTGTGACGAACTCGTTTCCGACTTTGCGCGACCTCCTACTGCCGGTGCAATACGACAAGAAAAAGGCATCTCCCGAATTGCCCGGTGACAGCAGCAAAGCGATGGGGCCGTGCTATTATGCCAGGTGCTTACGCAATGGCCACTCACTCACGACACTCGCTTGGCTCGTTTCACAGCCTGTTCGTCCAACAGTCACCTCGTTGGGACCGCTGAGACTCGCTTCCGCGTGGGAACCGCAATATCAATGTTTAGATAAAGTAGCTAATCATCAAATCTAAACACTTAAGTCTCACAGCCTGTGCTGAATCTACCGGAACCTGTGATCCATTGAGGTGACAGAATTAGCCAGACAAATTTCATATCTACAATACGTGTTTACTTCAGAAATAGCGACATAGAAGGCTTAGACGCCAACGCACACGACACCTCAACTTCTACCTATCTTAGTTCCGGGATGTAGCATGAGACGGGCCTACCCCTCACTCATTTACAAGGCGGCCGGTGAGGGCATCATTAATACCTTCGTTTACTCAACTCGGCCAGTGTAACGCAAGTAGAGGCTACTCAGTTGAAGCTGTGCCAAAAGGCCAATTACCATTATGGAAGCGAGGACTCGGAATCTTCTTAGGTATATGTGCATATTATACAGGTTTGGGTTGAACCATTACTATATTCAGTCCCGGTGTGAACGCGGCAGGCGATCCAAATAATGTGTATCTTTATGACAAGAAGAGCGCTCAGTAAACGCAACCACAAACTGGATACCTTGGCCTACATAGCTATCCAACAGAGCCGTAATAGATAGATATCAAACAATCACACGAACAATTCATCGTGATTATTCAAGACTGTTGTTCTCTCTTCAACCAAGTTTCATAGGGTCTCCGCATAAATGCATCCAATTATATCTCGGCTATATAGGAACCAGGAACTGAGCCCTGAACATGATTTGAAGGGGAAAGAGGGAGAGAGAGAAGAAGAGAAAAAAAAGAGGACAAAAAATAAAAAAAGACAGATGAATGAACCTGTTGACATGGGCCTCTTCGGGATTCGAACCCGAGACCTCTCGCATTTTGCACATGGTACCCAAAGCGAGAATCATACCTCTAGACCAAGAGGCCAATGAAACTATCCCAATGAGGAAGGTGGCTTGCTGCTTAACCTATATTCCTCACTCGGTTGGTTGTGTTTGTTAGGTAATTCGGATGTGAAACTTGATGGTCCTTCGGGTAAATACCTAAACTTTGGGTTGAAACTCAAGTACGAAGACTCTGTTTGGACTACTATGCAGTTGACGTCGGTACTCTGTTAAAAGACCAGTTGTTTTTCGGGTCGCTCGATGAGTAGCTGGGTGTAGCAAAACTGTTGACAACTTGCCATTATGATGTGGTTTGGTAACCTTCCGGCCAAATATGAGTAGACATTTATATTCGACAGGTTTGAGCATGAGGAAATATTGATCTTTTCCTCTTGAGATGCATTGCCACCAATCCTCGCAGACCCTGTGTTAACTAGTTCTTCTTGAATAATGATCGGAAAATACTAAGCTATCACTTGCACAGCAAGCAACACAGATGATGCATTTTATAAGAGACAGAGGAAGCTTGGTACGCTGTATACGGATTGCAATTCGCTTCTCTAACGTCTATTTACTGATCCCAATTGTGTATTATCCTAAGAGACAAACGAGCCAGCCTCTAGGCCTCGGCCCCGTTCGTGCCGTTCGCCTGCTGTGCGATCCGGTCCAGGCACTCCTTGAGGCCCTGTTCGCCAAGGGCTTCGTACGCGGCGCGCATTTCCCTCTGCTCTGCCTCCGTGTACGAGATCTCGTGGCCCTGCCTGCGCCGCCGGCTCTCCGGCAGCTCCGTCAGGCTCGCGTGCGGATCCTGCCCCGTCTTGTCCGAGAACTCGTAAGAGCGGTATTCGGTGTTCTCCCAACCGGTCCCTGCGCAACGGAAGCCCCGCTATTGGTTAGTTTCGTCGTATCAAGAAGTTGAAGTAAGAGGAAATATTCTCCCCCGCTTCTCTCTTTCACCTAGGTGGAGAAGGAGCTACGGGCTTACCGCGTCCGGGGTCTATCCCCGACCAGTCCTCGGTCATGAAGTGCAGGATGCCGCCGTGGGTGACCAGGACCACCTGGGCGTCGTCGTCGCCGGCGTCCCGGACCAGGTCCCGGAGCCACAGCCTGGCGCTGCGGGCGCGGGCCTCGAGCTTCCGGGGGTCCGGGTAGTACCGGGAGTCGGGCGTCTTGCGGTTCCAGTCCCCCGCGACAAGGCGGAAGTCGACGAGGTCGCCGAACTCGTCCCGCAGCGGCCCGACGTCGCTGCCGACGTCGCAGGGGTATAGGGAGACCTCCTGTGCGTCCGGGAGGGCGACGATCCGCCTGCCCGCCGCCACCGCCGGGGCGAAGGCGAGCTGGCAGGTGAACAGCGTCCGGCGGATGGGCGAGGCGACCAGGTGGGTGATCTTGTCGTGGTGGGGAAACACCTTGCTGAGCGCCTCGCACTGCTGCTTGCCCAGCTCTGTCAGGTCCGGATCGCGAAGCCACTGGTTCTCGACGCTGAGGTTGTGGTAGCCCTGCGCATGGCGGACCAAGTGGATGACTGGCGCCATTCCGATGACTATCTTGAGTGATTATCCAATGAAGAAACAGCTAACGTATACCCAATTAGAGCAGAATTCGATTTGAGAATATAAGCTTGGATTGTATTTTGTAAAAGCAAGGGACCAAGCAGCAACACGGCGAGGAATTGGACAATGTCGTCAAATCTGGGGTTTGAAAAGGAAACAGTCAAAAAGAGGGAAACCACGTTTTGAGATTTGAATAGTTAGTTACGTATGAGCGGCGAAGACGCTTACTCGGTTATCGACTTCCACGTCGAACTGTGGAGACTCGACCCGAACTACCTCTCTTAAGTGGTCTTCTGGGTCATCTGAGCAGTCATCTAAGCCCGCAGAGCGAGAGAGGCAGCAACCAAAGAAAAACCGACGAATACATGGTAGGAACGCGATCGTTTCGATGGGACCCGACTCTATCGCGACCCCTATCGAATGGCAGTCCGGCCATGGCGCCCCCGATTTCGAATTTCGACGGAGCCCATTGAACGGGTCATCTCGCTGCCAAATCTCCTAGCTTATTCATAGCTGCACTATGACTCTTTGTCCCCGGCCCACCCGATCTCGGTCGGTGGGGTGTGTCCGGACCCGGCGCTCTGCATCGTCGAAAGTGTCATCGGCAAAGCCTGATTGGGTACCTCCGCCCGGCCTGGGTCAGCGATTCCAGCCCGGTTAGATGGCTGCTCCATCTCAGAACAAAATGGCCGACACGTGGCCGAGTGCGTCGAGGCTATACGATGGAAGCGGGATGAAGTTGTTGCGTGATTGACGTGATCCATTCCACGCGTTCTTATATATATATGCTCCGGGGTGCTAAGTCACGGCTGAATGTTAGCGGTCACAGACCCTGGGATTAGGCTACTTTGAATTGGCTGGGCGGGATGGAAATTGGATCTTGAGGGAGTGGCCGTTCGCCTCCCACCGGTTTCTTCTGTTGAGCTTCATGTTATCCCACGTATTGAGCTTGACATGCCTGAAGCTCTGAGACTTATCCGTACATAGTACGTAGCTGATATACCGAGGACCGGTAGTTAGTCGTTGGGTGGCTCCTTGACTTTAGGTTACCAACCCACCGGTACTAGATAGTACTTAAGATAAGTATCCTCGGCAGGTACCGTAGGTACCTACCTAGTATTACCTGTGCACTATCTCGAAACCCTGGTCTGAATAAGGGTACCTAATCTTTACCACGCTGGGCTGGTGATGTGTGCAACAGGAACGGAGTGATTGTCAGAGCAACAGAACGGTCCTGGCTAATATAATACTGCTACCGTGCGTGTGGGTTATGAAATGATGTGCCACCCGCTGCAAATCTACCTCAAGCCGCCTCACAGAGTCATCCCGCATCCTTATTGGCCAGATAATCTGTTCGGTTACGTACAGCAAGTACGGAGTAGGTATCTATTGTTTGCGTCAACAATACCGTACGTGCGTACCTGGGATTGTATCGTTTGTGCGTAGGCGTGGTTGATGACGAGTCACCTCGTTGGCGCGAGTTGTAGAACCATGGTAGCATCTCCCCCCGTCCTTCTTAGGCACGTAACCTTCTGGTAGGTAGCACTGTTTCCCTCATTTCCGAGTAACATGGCGGGTCTACTTCGGTAATGGCCCGGAATCGTCCGCTTGGGCTTTGTGTCGAAGTTACTACTATGTATGTGTGTAATTTTGTCCCGTCTTGTTTTGGTCCCCTGAGCCTTGTCCCGGCTGTTGGCAGGGCCCGAGCGCCTTGCATGTTGTGCATCTGCGGGTACTAAGAGAGACCTAAGAGACCCCTAAGAGACACCATCTCCAAAACATTGGCTGGGGTTTGGCTTTAGCTCCTTCTCCTAGGACAGCCGGGATCCACACTTCTGGAGATGCCATTTCCCCAAGTCCCACTCTTCCCTTCAAGCTCCATCGCCCGCAGATCGCACCCTCTTGTCTCAGAACAACAACAGCTGTCATATTTTTAGGAGGGACTCTTTCCCTCCCTCTACGCACTTGACGCACTTGGCATTCCTCGCTGCGAAAGACGAAAGACGAAAAAGACCGACCTCTCGTGGAACCCCTCAAGAAGGATTCGCAGCTGCTGACAAAATGGGTGGGATTCGTGAAGTCCCCTTTCCTGCACCCCATTCTTTGCCTATCCCTAGACATCACTCTACCACGGTGACGATGGCCGCAGACCATTGTTCTACAATGCCATGGGTTGTCGTCGCTTGGGCGATTACGTCTTTCCCTCCTCCTCCCTTGCGTGGTCCCATCAGAGATGGAGAGCCGTGTTGGATTCACGTCGCCTAGTACATTTGTACTACAACTGCATGCTGACTGACTTGTGCCGTGTAGCGCCGAACGCACTCAACAACTTGAAGTCCAAGCTCAAGGCCGCCTTTCGAAAGAAAGAAAAGAAACCCAAGGAGGGGGCTTCCACTAGCGGACCTGCCGACGCAACCAAGACCGACGCTCCTGCTGGTGAGTGAGGTGTAGAAACTGTCGAGGTGCAGCTGCAGACGGCGGGCAGCGTGAAACCCCCAGAATTGGTGCGATTCTGACCTGTGTCTCTAGCTGCGGCCGCTGTCGCTGCTGGCACTGCTGCCGCTCCTGTTGCCGCTCCTGTTGCCGCTCCTGCTCCTGAGTCTGCTCCTGCGCCTGTCGAGGTCCCTGCTACCGAGGCAGTGAAGACCGAGGATGCAGCCAAACCCGCCGCTGACACAGGTAAGCCAGTTTACCCCGCCACCAACTTCCTATCATTGGCTGCTTTGCACCACTCGGGGCGCTCGTCTCGAGGACGACTGATGGGTCCATAAACACCCGCTAACCCGTCACTAGCTACTGGCGCTGCTGCCACCGAGGTGAAGCCTGAGGAGAAACCTGAGGAGAAGGCCGCGGAGGAGGCTGCGGAACCTGCCGTCGCTGGCACTGCCGCTCCCGTTGAAGCCCCCGCTGCTGCTGAGATTGGCGTTGCCACCGACACCAAGCCCGCCGGAACCGCCCAATGAAGTGAGATGGATATCACCATGAGAGAACGTGTTGGCAAATAACCCCATGGGTACCGACTGCAGTGGTCTCTCCCACTGATTCCAAAGAATTATGAAACGAGTTCACACATATGTTGGCCTGGTAGTTTCTGGTGGCGAGCCCGGTTCGGAAAGCATATTTCCTGGGCAAGTTGTTTGATGGAGTTTGAGATACCCTTCTCGAGGATAGCAATTGAGCGTTTCCTGGTCTGAATACACTAAGCTTATCACCTATCGATACGTGATCCTTCTGGAGTCTACATTAGACTAATGCCCATCAAAATAGTACGCTAATGCAATGGCCTGCATCTACGCCTTGCCTGTTTAGATATAGCGTCGTACTTGATGGTCCAAGCGTTTTCTGTCTTGGCTCCGACTTGAGACAACCTGGCCCGGGTTGGCCATCCTTCTGGACATGACAGCACATGCATGTCTGAGCTTAATCTATATCCTGTTATCTGGATGGAGCTGCATAGCTGATGTTGATGTAGTACTATGGACTTTGCCTT